GTGTGTGTGTGTGTGTGTGTGTGTGTGTGCGTGGTGAAACACCAAACCAACGTGCCAGGATCTGGACAATAAAGATGTATCTTATCTTATAAAGAGTTTCAAATCTCCATGTTAGGACGGTTGAAGCCTCAGCACCACACGCAAATTATAACCAGAGTCTTCAATTGGCTGCATTGCCTCGCAGATCTCATGTTCGAAGTGGCCACTCTTGGGGTCAATGGTGATGACCTTGGTGGCGTTCAAACCATCTGGGATAATCTCCACACTGTCAGGATCCTCACCAAATCGCCAGCCTGAATCGAGCTTCGTATTAAAATTGAATTGCACCCCTGTGATTGGGGCAACTCTAACAACACAGCTCACCATCATGGTATGAGGATCGGTGAACCAAAGTCCAGAAGCTTCGCTGTCAAATTTCAGTGGTAAATAGAAGTTAACAACGTTGTACGTCGAAGCTGTGTTGTCATCGGCGTCTTTCGCTACGCATTCGTACGTGACTTGACCCGCCCCCCTAGGGTTAGGTTTCACAACAGCGTGACTCTTTACGCTATAGCCTCCGTAGAGCGTTGACGTGTTGTAGGGAATCACCCTCCTGCTACCATTCTCGCCTATCCTGTATATGGGGAAATCTGTGACGTTATTTCCAAAGACGGAGCAAGATATCTCACAACCTCGATCTGCGTAATTGCATTTCGTAACGGTGACATTTGGATCGTGAGAAGAACGAGGCATTCGCAAGAAACCAAGATATCCTTCTGGGAACGGCAGGGTTTCGTTTGAGGGTCTCAGAACCCTTTGGGTGACTACATGTCCTCCTGCAATAAGATCACTCCTTGTTCTTGTACGAATAGTATTTGTGAACACAAGCAAGCCCCTCGGCGACCCATTTGACGTGCTTAGTAACAACTCCATCTCTTGTGTTTCTATGAAATCTTTGGTGTCCGCATATTGCACAAAGTCTCCTGTGCCTTCTCCATACTTCAGTTCTCTGGATACATCATCGTACAGAATTGTATTCAGCTTAAGCGTACTCCCCGACTCAGAATCGTCGTTCACTCTAGGAATAATTACCCTGACCTTTGCGTTATGACCAGGGTTGTACGTAATGTCCCCCGCTGGCACCGGTATTAATGTTAGCATAGAACCGGGAACACTTAACTCTGTTGTGTTAGTTCTAAGACTATTTCTAAGTTCCAAAACCACCTCCCCAAAAGTAGGTTCTGCCAATCGCACGAAAACATTGGCATATCCTCTGTCACTGTCCGTGACGGCACTTGTCTCTCGAACATAACCATCTCCTATGTCAACTCGTTTGTCTACGACGTCATCAAGTCCTGAGCCTTGTTCGTCATTACGAAACCAGGAAACGTCTGGCACCACGTCCACGCTCAGCTTATAAGTCACGGTGAATTTGATCTTTCGGAGACTGACCTCTCTTTTTGCGGACAAGACGATAATGCTCGGAGCAGGTATCTCTAAAAATTGGTGTGAAACAGATTCTTGGTTTTCACAAGGCTGCCCTCCTGTTGTTAAGGCTTCTTTCAAACGAGATATTTCGTTGAAAAGAATGTCAAATTTCTCGTTCATCTCACTTCGCTGAGGAAACAAGAGTAAATGATAAGAGAGTGTTCATCACATGAGGTTTTCGAACATATTTGATCACTTTAAAAGTGTACATGTATCATTTTTCCGCAAAGCATTGGAATCTATAACATATACAGGCGTGTCTTAAGTCAATAAGTAATAATTAGGAATCTTTGCTTTTTTAACAGACTGAACCTAAACAAAGTCAAGCAAGCTCAATGTTTGAGATCCGTATATTATATTCAAAATCAAGGAAAACTTAATGATTAAAGACTGTTCTTAGTTTCTAGATGCTCCGATATAAAACTTAGCTTAGAATATTTTATTTTTCATACGAGATGTCCACACAAAATTAAGTAGAAGAAAGAAAATCTTTTCTGTGTTAATAGTGTAATCATGCCATCACACGCCATTGTTCCACTAACTTGTTTAAGATTATTACTAATTTAGTTTTATAAGAGAATGCATTTTCTAAGACACAATTTTAGGGATACCTCCAGTATTCGACAAAGGCACCCCCCACCCCCCCTTCCCCGCGCATGCCTGGTTTTGCTTGGATTTTTCATCATAGAGATGCATAAATACAATATGAATGAACAAACGTACAACAACAACAACAACAACAGCATCATCATCAACAACAACAACAACAGCAAAAACAACAATAACAACAACAACAACATGAATAAAAGTAGCTTATGATAAATGAGTGAGGGTACAAAATAATGAGAGCATACAGGCAACAACAGCAAAATAAATAAAAGTATAGGCCTGATAAACAGATGATACGAGGTTTAAAAAAGATACGACAATGAAGCGAACATACCAACAACAACAAAATTATAATTTTATTAAATAGATACATGATTTTTTAAATGCTCTTTAAAAACAAACAAACAGACAACAAAATGAATAACTTGGCTTGGTGGTGTGCTTTGAAAAAAATCAATTTGTCTTTGTGAAGTCGGGCGTTATGGAGTCATTCAAAAACAAAAAGAAAGCACCGTGTAAAAGGCAGGGCTTATACATGTAAAGTAAGTCTTTGACAAGAATAATACACATTTTAAAATACGATACTTACGGCACAGTGTAAGGCTACCCGCCATTTGAATCAGTACTTACCATGAGTTCCATCTCATCTCTGTTGTAACCCGATGCACACTGGGTGAGAAAATAGCAGATGAATACCACCAGGCTAGTTCTCCCAGATTTCAATTTCAATTTCATTTTTAATTTGATGTGTTTGCAATTCCTGTTCAGTTTAAGGGGTGCTTTTTATATATATAGTAGTTGTTGTTGTCTAATAATTTTTCAAGATGTAGGCCTAAAGCTTATTCGTGCAGCGTAATTCTACGTACAGCAGTTCTCTGCCCCGGTGATGCCTCTGAATGTTCTCGAGTTTTGTCCAAAACAAAGACAGCATGTATAATATAATTATTAGGCCTATAATATGCTTTCAGTTCTGTTAAGCGGCCTAACAGCACCTCTGAACTAGCGTATTTACTTAATGGAGCCATTAATGTCGTTTAAATTATTATATTATTATTATATACCCCCCCTACACACACACACACACACACACACACACACACACACACACACACACACACACACACACACACACACACACACACACACACACACACACACACACACTTGCACAACTCCCCCAGCCATCCAAAGGACATTTTGTGAACTATGGAGAAGAAAATAAATATGAACAGCGCCTCTAGCATGAAACAAGCAATTTCCTAGTTGTTACATCGTGCAAATTCGGATAAAAAGTAAAGAGCTCCAAATGGATTCTAATGATAGCTATTACTATTACTGTCCAATCGTCCGTAGCATTGTTTAACATCCTTAGTAACCATTAAGGTGGGAGCACATATACGGTTGTGTGTGATCGGATCGGATAAAAAAAAGTTTTACAGGACCTGCGACACCTTTGGGTCGTATCATAAGTGCCGAAGATTAGAAAGAGAGTAACAAACACACATAAAAAGAAGGAGATTAGATAAGGACGATAGATGTTTGATGGGAAAGGAAGAACAAACCACACCTGAACACCTGTCCACCTATGACTGGGTTTAGGCACAATGTCGAAGGAGTAAGCGAGTACTGATACAGTATAAAAACGTGGCAATCGTCAACTGTTCCACTGCAGTTTTTAACACTATTGTCACATGTCTAATAACAGCAGCAAAAAGTGTTTATCCAATGACCGGAAATAGTAGAAGCAATGACGATAAAATTACCCAGGATTAGAATCACATGGACAAGCAAGGTCACCAACTAGAAAGCTCATTGTACCAAACTCTCTGATTGTACTAAAGGGGAGCACAGTCTGAGATGAAGAGTGAAGAGAGAAGAGGATAGTGGCAATGGATTGGACATACCCCCGGGAAGCGAGGCAGCTGCATGATATAGAAAATATTAGATCGGAATCACAGAATTCTACACTTAGTGTAGAATTCTGTGATTTGAATCCATATCGGGTAAGATATCAAGGGGAAGGTCACGTGAAACTTGGAGATGAGCCACAGAGAACGATGTACTGAAATGTGCAAAGACAAAGAATTATGTCAAGAAGCTTGCCCAGGACAAGGATAGCTGGAGAGTGTTTGTTGGTGGCAAATAACGTGGTCCAGGGTGAGACAGGTGATGATGATGATGGACGGTAGTACTAGTAATGGCGGCAGCAGCAGCACTAGCAGTAGTAGCAGAAGCAGCAGCAGCAGCAGCAGCAGTAGTAGTAGTAGTAGTAGTAGTAGTAGTAGTAGTAATAGTAGTAGTAGTAACAGCAGCAGCAGCAGCAGCAGTAGCAGTAGCAGCAGAATGGTCAAACGGCCTACTCTTTTACGATTTTCAACAACCAAGGGGTCTTTAATATGCGCAATGTGCACGCACAGGTCCTCAGAGGTTGTTTTCCACCTGACACCGAAGACTAGTGGCTCCATCTTACCTACCATGTTCAAGGGAGTGGAAGAAGGAGGAGATTATAGTGATAGTGCGGTCAAAAATTCGTGGGGCAACTTGTTGTCAAATATCTCCTCAACTAAGGAACATAAACTCTCCAGTTTTTGCGCAGTGACTTGTATCAGTTTGTCTTAAAAGATCACATTTTTTTGTAAAGACCTGTTAGCCATATTCTAGAAAATTCCTTTATAAAAACTAATTTAAAAAATCCTAGTGGGAGTTTTCTTCTGATTTTAAAAGGTTTGCAGCTAGAACTATCGCTTTTAAAAGCAAGTACCGTCATTTTGTTTCCGAATCACGAGATTAATCTTTAATGAAAGCATGTTTTGAGAACTTTTAGTGCAAAAAAAATGTTCACTATAAAATTAATTTCTTGTAACTAGTTTTGCAACTAAAAGTGTCATTGGTGAGCTGTGACGTAGGCCATATGCGTGCGCCACAATGTGTGTGAGAAGCGGTAAGTGCTGTGAACAATTCCATTTTCCGTGTGCAGGAGATTTGTCGTATTTTATATAAATTTAAGAAGAAAGGTTCTCTAATCTAGCCTCAATCAATTGTTGTGAAAAAATATAATTGAGTTAAGAAAAATTGATGCAAACTTCCGTACAACGTATGGGTGACTCTGATTCACCCGTTAAAAAGATATTTGAGGATGAGCTGGTGGTAGCACCATCAGATGAAAGGTCTTGTCAGCGTTAACGTGGTCAATACCCAATTCACCGGCGTCTGTTGCGTGTTGTAGCGGCGAGGCGCTTTGCTGATGCATGCAGGAGACTCGAGTTCGGTTCCCAAGTGGGGAGATCTGTATGAGTATGAGTATCTCGGTCTTTCTACCGGGATATTGTATCCCTCTCAGCTCGGGTAAGCCCTGACAGGCAGGGTCGGAAAAAAGGACCCACATTGTGTCGATGAGGTTGTAAAAACACCTACATTAATATTAATTTATAAAAAATAATACTGAAATAAATAAGCAATTTCTGACAAATCGATGTGTGTGTGTGTGTGTGTGTGTGTGTGTGTGTGTGTGTGTGTGTGTCCCCCAAGCCAGGACACAAGTTTCTGGTAGGTCACCAAAGATATTTCAATTTTACACATATTCTCTGTTTAGAAAGGCAAACCCTAAGTGTATGATATTTTTCAGGTTTTTTTAGCTGTCAGTATCTCCAGATACGAAGACTGACACTTCTTCCCAAAAGAGTTGCTTGCATTCATACATTGTGGAAATCATGGACACTGAGTCTGTTTTTTTTTCACTTTAGCTTTGCATTTTAGAATCACATGGACAAGCATGAAAAATGTGCTGAAGGCTGCACAGCAAAAGATCAAAGTGAAATATCAGTGTCATGTGGAAATCTGACATCTTGACTAAAAAAGAATGCCATATAATGCTAATTGATCTCGAAGGGTTTATTCATGCTTATAACTTGTGTTTGTTTTTTGCTTTTAAGCAAACTAAGAATGTTGTAGTTAATTTTGTAACTTGTAGGACACTGTTGCTCAGATATTGGAAACCTACAGTAAAATTTATTACCTTTTATTTCCTTTTCATGACGTTTAAACGTTTGACATTCATGTATAATTCAAGCTTTGTGAAAATTGGCTGTTGTTCTTAACATTATTATTGGTAAGCTATCGTGCAAATGAAAATTTTCCTTTTCAGTCTATGAAATTAAATGCCAGTTTTTTCTTGAAAATGTCCAGTGTCAGCAGATTTATGTATTGTTTAATTTTTGCAGGCTTTTGGATTTATGACCAGAGTTGGCTTGAAGGCGGACAAAATGGATCACCACCCAGAATGGTTCAATGTTTACAACAAGGTAGGGCAATGTGTTCATCAAAGTAATTATCTTACATCCCAAGTCTAAGCCTACTCTTTCCTTTGGCCTTTTACAACCTCTGCCCCCCTCTCCCCCCACCTTTAACTGTATGATTGATATGCAGTTGGATTTTGACACATGCAGTACATTACTCATGAGTTTGATTATTGGCAGTGCTGGGTTTTGAAAAGAGAAATGGACTCATAGAGCGAAATATCTGCCTGCCAATGCTTTGAAGGTGTAGCGTTCAATGTGGATGTTGGGGACTGGGTATTATTTAATAGTCGACTAACTTTCTAATTTTGTGTACAATACGTGAATACTCCATTGATAACTGCATTTTTCAGTGGGGATGTAGTGTGATTGCAGCTCAGCTTATGTGGGTCATGTGTATAGTGTGTTTCCCATGATAACACACATGTAGTTAATAAATTACTGCTAATTCTGTAGGAAATATATGTTAATGCTATTTTTACAAAGTGTTTTCTATGATTAGTAGAGCTTAAGTGGTGACCAGCACAGGTGGGAGTGTCATAATTTATGTACAATGTCCCTGCTCTTTTGTGTGTGCTTGTCAGTGCAGTCATGAAATTTTGTGTGTAGGTAGGGTAAGGTGGATGGCAAGTTGATTATATGCATAAGTGAGATATGAACTTATTTCTTGACTAAACTTAGGTCACTGAAAATGAAGTTGCTGATAGTTTCAGTGTTTGTTTCTCTCTCTCTCTCTCTCTCTCTCTCTCTCTCTCTGAAAATTTTTGTATCACGCTAAATTTGACCCTAGATCAAAATAGGATTTTTTAAAACTCTAAATTTTCATTGATTTTAAGCCTTATCCATCTTTAATTTTGATGCAATGTATTTCTCTGCTGTGAGTTAAACTATGTTTGACAATTCATTTATGCAGTTGCAGCCATATGTTACACAGGGAATTGACTCTTTAAATATTCTGATTCGTATTGCCCAACCAGCTAACCCATCAGGTCATTAACATTTTATTTCATGTCATAACTCTGTGAACTGTAAGTCTTTTTTGTTTGTGTTTTTGCAACAGGTTCAGATTACCTTGAGTACCCATGATGTTGGGGGTTTGTCTCAAAGGGACGTTACCTTGGCGAAGTTCATTGAGGAAGTGGCTAAATAATTCACAGTTAGACATGAGTCAAATCTTCCCTGGCCATATCAAAATGTTGAATGTGCAGTAGTAATCAAGATCTGTTGTTTGGCAATTTTCTGTTAATGTTGTTTAGAACTATGCATTTAATTGTAGAGCTTTGTTTCCGAGGCAGGAGGTAATTTGTTGTAGAATAACTGCCCTTTGCCATGTTCCACAATGTAGTGGATTATGATTTTCATCATTTGAAGCCAAAACTATTTCCATGATTATAAAGTTGTTGTTGCTAGATAGCTGAATGTTTTAGTTAAAATTGAGCAGCATTAACACTGGTTTGAATGTAGTAGAAGAGTTAAATTGAAGGCCATTTTATTTATTTGTGTCCTTTTATTTGGATGAATGATGATTCCCTGTATTTTACATTCCGTTGTGAATTGCCTAGTGATTATATTATAATCCTGAATAAAATACTGCTGATGTTTACTATCATCATGACATTTATTAAATTTAATCACCAATGAATCTCTTCATAATATTAAGAAAAAAAAGATTTGATTATTTTTCTGTTGTTTCTTTTAAGTGCACATGTTCATTCGGCTCATTGTTTACTTGTTAGCTGTTTAATCTTTAAAAAAATATTATTCAATAAGAAAAAATGGATGTCAAATTCCGTATTCTCTCAGATGTGTTCAAAAGTGCAGGTCACAGTTTGCATGTGTTTCAATACCTATGCTGTTCTTTTCCTTTATTTATCTCTCAGAGTCAGAGCACAAAATAACAAATAATTATATCGTTTACTTCGATTTAGTTAGAGGTGGGGAAGGAAGGGATGGGCTAAGATGCACCTAAGTCAAAACGGTTGTGCTTCCCGAGTTTCAGAGTTGCATCTGTAGTCAGGTTGGTATTATGTGACATAGTAGAAACTGCCGTTGCAATAATATTTTTGGGGTCATTTTTGTTTTTCAGTGGCCTTATTTTTTATGACATGGTAATTGTTCTTGGTTTGCTGTTGAGCTTTGTTTTTGATTGGTGTAGTTTCAGAGGAAGAGTGAGGTCTAGAATGCCTGTTTGTGTAATAAGTTTGTGTGGTGACTTTGTTAACATCAAGTAAAATAATAAATCCCAAGGACTTTACATGTGTTTAAAAATCTCAAGTTCTTTTTTGAATGTTTTAAGAATTTTTAGGACTGCTATTACCACTGTACTGTTCAGACCCCGGCCACCACCTGTCTTTCACCTTGAGTGTAGGCTTTTGCGATGCATTTTGCTGCCTCGTCTGTTTTTCTGCTAGCCTCCGGTACATTTTAGAGACAATCTTTTGTAGGTTGTTTATCATCTGACACACAGTAAAACACAATTTAGAATATAATTTAGCATGCTGTTCAAAGGTTCTTTGCCCACAAAGCAAACTTTTTCCGAAGAGATAAAAAGTATCCTTTCGCGTCTTTTTCGTACTGGAACATTCATGAAATGTCCTTTGATGGCTCTCTAGCAGCCGTAAACTGTTTTCGAAAAAGGTGTTCGTGATTATCTCCACATACTGCAAGGAAAGAAGACATCAGACTCCGTAATACCATGTAACCCGTGGTAGCCTTCTGTTGGTCATGATTTTCATCATATACCCAGTCTTGGCCTAGAAAATGAAACATGTTTAAATTGTTTGATTTTGGAAAATTTTAAGTTTATAAAAACTACCAAAATGTTAGCTTTTGCTCCCCTGTGAAGGAAAAATAATGTAGCCGCGAAATAAATGTATCAAACTACCAAATGATTTGATGAAACTTTCTGCAGTGGGTGGTTGGTGGGTGCTTCGGTGTGGTTTGTTCCTTCTTTCTTATCAAACATCTATATCATCCTTACCTCTCATCCTTCTTTATTGAATATGTCATGTTTGTTTCTCTCGTGTAACACCTCTAATCTTCGGCACTTATATTTATGACCTTATTGTGTTGCAAGTGCCTTAAAACTCTTATTTTAAAAAAGAAGACTAGGTCTAGGTGCTCGACCCCAACATTTACTGGGATTAGAGGTGCACCGGCGTCTGTTGCCTGTGTTGTAGCGGATAGGTGCTTCACTGTCGCACGCAGGAGACTCGAGTTCGGTTCCCAAGTGGGGAGATATGTTGAGTATCGAGTATCTCGGTCTTTCTACCGGGATATTGTATCCCTCTCAGCTCGGGAAGGCTTTGACCAGCAGGGTTGGAAGCCCACCTCCAAAACGATGGAAAGTATAACGATGGAAACTTAAAAACACCCACATTTGTTGGGACCAGAGGTGTTCAAAAGTAACAATAGTAAACGAACCAAGAATAACACCAAGCTTTCTGACACGAGAGGCAAACTGTTGAACCGCCAGGTTATGAAGCCCCCCTAAGTTTTGCTATTCTTTTATTGCTCGTACTTCCCCATGGGACTTTGTTATAAAACTGTAAGTTTGATCATTTTCGTTTGTTGAAAAAAAATTCTTGCTTATTTATTAATCTCATGCTCTCGAAACTCTGCATAGTCCTTCTACGGGCCAGCGACCAAACAATATTTTTTTCTCCAAAAAAATTGAACCTGCAATAAAACAGTTTCTTTATTTAGGCCCTACGTGTATTAAAAACTTTGGCTCTTTGGGTGCTTACTCAGGATCACTGAAAACAATAACTTACAGTAATATAACCTGGTCAACAAATTGCTCATTTTGAGACAGCGACACTACGCTGCCCCCACATTTGAGTGTAAGCATGAAGATTTCCTCCTACGGTTGTCTAGACTCTAGACGTCTCCATGTGAGTCTCGAAAAGTATATTATATTATGTACTCATCTAGTAGTCTGTGTGGTGTTGAGAAAAATATATGTCAACTTACAATGTCTAAGGTGTAGGCTGTAAAAATCCCCTTTCACTTTTTGACCTGCTTTAGGTTTAACAGAACCTTAGTCTGCTGTGGCCTTTGTGAATATGCTTTTTTAGATTCTGTTGGTCATCCAATGTTTAGACCAGTATGCAAAGATCTATGAAGATTAAACAGCGATTTCGTTTTATCTTGTTAATCACGGCGTCTGGCGAAACTGAGCAAGCTAGATTTATACAGTAGTACCTTAGTACATGGTAGAACATGGTGATAGCGTTTGCAGAACGCACAAAATTGAATGTTTGGTAGCGTATAACAGTGTAACAGAGGGGTCTGAATTAGGGATCAACCTCTGTTACTATTCGCCAGATGATGGTTTGCAGGGCGCCGCATTTATATAATATTAATATAAAATATTCTTCTTTACCTTAGTTGTTACTGAACTGTCTATCCGTCTTTCTTTTTCCCCTGTGCATGGTTATAAATTCTGAGTGCTTATGTAAGCACTAATGTAGGGTTACTACCGCGAAATGGGTCATTAATTCCTTCCAAACCTTAGTGTTCAACCTGGCCATTGACTGGGTCATGAGGAAAACAACAGAGGATACATCAAGAGTCATAAGGTGGACCCTCTTCTCCACCCTCGAGGATTTTGACTTTGCCGACGACCTTGCACTACTCTCCCATACCAACCAACACATGCAGGAAAAAACAAACTGACTCCACAAATACG